ATTCATCATCCGAAACCTAATTTACTTTAGAGATTAAAGCGATTCGATGAGGTCATACTGGCACACAAAATAACAACACTTCTCACTAGATAAAAATATTTAAAATGAGCGGCGATGTGAGTAAGATTATGCTTTTCATGACAACTTAAACATTTGACTTAATGTCTCTAAATAAAAAGAACTATTAAAAACACGACCAGAAACCAATAAGAAAATGAAATTAATATATTATATCCAGCTATAAAAACTTAGAAACGAGTTAAATCAGATTGTATAGCTAAGCCTTCACCTGACATCAAGACTCAGAAATTGAAAATATAAATTAAAATGGAATTCATAAAATAAATAACCATTTAATTCCGACCTGATTGAAAAGAAAAGACATATAACGGCCGCTGAGAAATATGCAGGAACAAAATGTTTACAGCAAGAGAAAACAGCAATTTTAAGACTGATGACTTCATTCAGCACGCTGGATTGTGTCAGTATTATTCCTGTAATCAAAATAAGTATAAAAGTAAATAAGGAAACTTTTGCAATCAGATACTACAAAAAATGCGAATATCTAGACTCTTGATGACCAAAACATACCTCAATCTTTAGTTTCTTTGCCCCATTTTCTTCATATCCAGCAGCCGGACGCTTGTATGACTGCTCATTACGGCGATCCTCACCTTCATTTTCACCATCATAAAATTCTCCAGGGTCAGCCACCATACCGTCAGTAATAGAATCTGGAAAACTTCGTACCCGTAAGTCAAGCTAAGGCAAGTGTATGCATTCCTAAAACGTCAAGACTTAGAAAAAAAAAACCGTCGCCTAAAACTTACGATGTAATCGAACATCTGGATTAGCATTATCTCGTGCAACTTCCTCATGATTTATACATTTTAAGGCATCATCTGGTATCGGTTGCATTTGAACGCTTGGAGCAGCAGCAACGTGTCTTAAATTTTCCATAACACCTTCCCTATAAAAGGATATGACGAATTAACTAGCGACTTCTTCAATAAGTCGTTCTCAACAAAATCAACCATTACGTCACGAGAAAAGGGTTTGGGAAAATTAAGTTCAAAAATGAAAAAAGTCAAATGTACTAACTGAATTCTTCTAAGAAAATCAGGAGTATTATCATTGTTAGCATTCGAAGGCTCAATATGCAACCGATAATTAGGGCCAAAATATTCGAAATAGTCGTTGTATGGTAAGTCTACAAAGATTCATTTGTTCTTAAAAAAAAGTTAACATACGGTTAACAAACATTTAACACACGAGCATTGAATACTCAAGAGATTTCAAATGAGAGATAAAAATTACCATCAGAAACTTCCATGTTAACAGCAATCGATGTTTCGTATGTCCAACAACGAGCAACATTACGAGGCGTATATCCGCCACCACCCAACATCATCAGTGGCACATGACGATCTCTGAAGTACTGTGCGCAAGCACCATGACCTATAAAAACTTTGAAACTAAGAAAAAGCGGACAGAAAATTCTAGGCAATGATAACCTCTGAGTGTCATATTGAATGTGCCTAAACGATCCCCGTTCAGAGAGTCGGCTCCACACTGCAGAACTACGGCATTTGGCTGGAAAACTTCCATGACTTTATTCATCACCTAAAACAGACAATCATGATTTTCTTTTTTTTTTCTCTCTCTAAAAACTACTAAAAATGAAACTAACTGGAACAAAGATGCTTTGGTAGGAATCGTCAGTGATCCCATCCTTTAAAGGCACATTAACTGAGTAATACTTTCCTTTACCAGCGCCAATGTCTTTCAATTCTCCAGTGCCTGGGAAAAAGTCGCCATATTTATGGAACGATACCGTCATGACACGATCAGTTGTGTAAAAAGCTTCCTCAACTCCATCACCATGATGAACATCAATATCTACGTAAAGGACACTGCAAACCAAAAAAAAAAAAAATCTCATTTCAAAAACAAAAATAAGGAAACCGTAAATAACAGCTAAATCTCTTTCGGAATATGGCTTGATTGAAGCTGTTAGTACGAAAAATGACCGAAAAGAGTTAAATACAAAAAGGAAAACGAGCAAAAAGTTATCTTACCGTTTATGATACTTTAACAACTCAAGAATCCCAAGCACAATATCATTTGAATAGCAAAATCCAGACGCTTCACTCTTTTTGGCGTGGTGTAAGCCACCCATCCAGTTAATTGCTATATCAGCTTTCCTTTTATTCAATTTTACTGCAGCAGCTGCAACCATAATCGCTTACCGTACATCAACCAACTAATCCAGTTAGGACTAGAGTCAAAATTCAGGAACAAAGTTAGAAAAAAAGAAAAAACAAACCTAAAGATCCTCCGCAAGAGATCTGACAAAATTCATAAAGTCCATCAAAAACTGGACAATCCTCACCCACATTAACTGTAAAAAAAAACTGTCATTTTATTCCTTTTGAAACAAGATCCAACTGGAAAAGCAATAAAGAAACATTTACATCTCAACATTTGTTTGCTAAAAGACTTCATGTTGTCCGGTGCAGCAGTTCGCAAAAACATTATATAATCCTGAGCATGAAATCGTGTCATTTCTTCAAAAGTAGCTGGGTGAGGTCTCTGAAAAACCCTCTCAATTATAAGAATAATTTGTGATGAAAATCATGAAAAAAATATGTCTACTGCTTTTTTTCGAGCCTGGAAATTACAATTAATAACTAAAAAAGGAACATACATAGACTTCTAAATTCCTATAAATTCCATAATTCAATAATAGATGATGCGTCATCCGAATCCTATGTGGCTTCATAACATGTCCTTGCCCATAATAGTAATTACCAATATTTGCTGAAAAATATCGAAGGTGCAAGATTATTTCAGCAAAAATGAATTCCTTTTTTTTTTTTTTTTTTTTTTTTTTTTTTTT